ACCAGCAGGTGATTGGGTGGAATTTTGCGTAAGCTAACGATTGAACTTATTCATGGTAAGAGATGTTTGCGCAGGAATAACCGGCAATTGCATTGTATGGGGTTCGTCTACTAGGAAACTAACCTATGTTTTGCCTTATTAGGAAAATGAAAAGAACATACGGTGATGGATTATGAAATTTGGGAATGTAATAATAATATTATGGTTAATAAGAAAGGAAAAATGATGATACGCTATAATGTTGTTGACTTTAATATTTTGTTTAGTCATGAGATGTTACTGAATTAATTTTTAGTACACCATTCAACCAATATAATATAGTATGTTTTTTTTGGTTTTAGTATAATAGATTCTATACCATTTTTATGCTTCATACCAAGACCATAATGAATCTCACAAAAGACTTTGAAATGATAGATCGAGTTGAAAAGACATGGCAGCATCAAAAGCAATATTGCGCATTGTTCTGATCACATTCCTGCTCTCATGCAAGTTTTTTTTTAATTTTCTCTCTATTTATATACATCATTCACATTTAGTTTGATTGCAAAAATAGTTGTTTTAAATCTTGCAAAATTCTAAAATGTATTGATCATGAATGTAACTGTGGGCATTGTTAGAAACGATGCTATCCATTGATGTCAACATAAAGAAAACGATGCTTCGCACTTTCTAAATTGACGTTTATATATATTATATTCTGAGTGTTTTCAATTTCTTTTGATGTTATGCTTAGTTTAAGGATATGAGATAGATGTTTATTTTGGAGATTTAAACCGCTATGTTCGAGTCGGATTTTGCATTTTTCATACTGTTGAATTTGTTGCCAGAATATCACCTTCTTACTGTTGCTAGTGTAGTTTTATAAGTCCAGTGTTAGATACTACAAATTCAGTGAATTGTCTACCTGCTAATTGAATGGTTAAAAATGAATCTGTGATGAAACTAGTCTCAGAAAGGTTAGAACATACAACAGAAGGGACAAGACCAATACCAGGACCTCTTCACAAGAAACACCACACCAAACACTAAAATAACATATCCAAAAAGCTCTTGTCCAGTCTACCATCAGATATCATAGCAGCTACCATTTTCACGGTAGATGCATCTCCATTGAACCCGCTGCTTCGCATTTCCTTGATAAATTCAGCTGATGCAGCAATTTCACCAGCTTTAAGACATCCTCTAATTAGTGTATTGTATGTGCAGTTATCTGGAACATGTCCACTGTCATTCATTTTCTGGAATAGTTCATTTGCCTCAGAAACTGCACCTTTTCCACAAAACCCAAAGATCATTATATTGTAAGTTTGAACATCAGGCTCAACACTATCGATGGGGAGACTACAAAATAAGTCCCAGGCTTCGTCCACCTTGTTACCCTTGCACAATCCATGGATGATGATGTTGTAAATCGCAATATCCAAATCCATCTTACTCTTCTGCATTACCTCAAACATTTCCAATGCCRTTTCCAGTCTCCCATTCTTGCAGAGACCGTCCAGCAAAATGATATAAGTTACGATATCACAGCACACACCATGAGAAATCATCTCCTGGAAAAGGTCTTCARCAGCACTAAGATCACCCACTTGACAMAAGCCCTGAATAAGAGTATTGTAAGAAACTGTATTGGCAACCAAACCTCTTCGAGGCATCTCATGGAGAAGTTGCAACCCATCGTTTACCCTCTTAGCCTTACAGTAGCCATCAATGAG